GTTCTTGAATAGCATCAAACCTGCCAGCCGTATGCAACCATTAGCTTTGTAGAAAACATTAGAAGATGCCAACCAATGCAAAGATTTCCCTTCAAGGATGACCAAGTGGTATCTCCACTGCCCTTTCCTTTTTCAGCTTCCATTCTGCCCTGTGCATTGGCATCCTGTAGAGTGGTGAAGAGATGTACAATTAGCTCTGTGTTTGAAGTTTTCACATGTAATACTGTGTGCTTTGGGAGTGAATGTTAATGCACTGTTGATCTCCCTCTTCCCTCCAAGTTTATGGAGAAGCAGTGATAGTGCAGCAGTGAGCTAGAATCATACAGTGGTTTGGGTTGGAAGGGACCCTTAAAGATCATCTAGTCCAGCCCCCCCTGCAATGAGCAGAAAGGCCAAGCCCTTCAACAACAATGCCATTTGAGTTTGAGCAGATATTTTCAGCTTAGCCCTTCAAATTTGTATGAGCTGAGAGAAAGCAGCGCTCCTTAGTTTCCTGTTGCATCAAAGAGGGTGTCTTGGAGTAGGACACTGCATGGGTATGCGTCTTGCTGCTTTGGCATGCTGTGCTCTCACACATCTCTGAGCTTTGATACGTACACAAGCATGTAAAGTCCGGCATAATGCAGACATGGTTCTGCTGAAGGACATTTATTTGTTTTGGGTGCATTTGCAATGTGATATATAATGTTTTTACAATCTTCCCACCCCAGCTTCATTCATAATAAACTGCATGACTACGAAAACATGCTTTGTGTAACATTTTGGTTTTGATGGTTTGGCTCTTCTTTTTATATGCCAGTAGCCCAAGTGCTTCCTGAGTACAGTTTTCCTTGTGTGACACTGTGTTTAATTACTAAATATTCTAAGTGCAAAAAGACTAACAAATACTATTTTTGCTTTCCATTTAGGGCGGTGTAAATACTAGCATAAGGCATGGCGGTATTTATGTTAAAGCGATTATTCCTGAGGGAGCAGCCGAAGCAGATGGCAGAATAGAAAAAGGTAGTATTTCATTTCTTTTAGTTGGGAGGTTTCATGTGAAAAAAGGGCAGGTAACTGTCTGTGGTGGACTCGATGGTACACTGTGGCCTAGAAGCTCAGAACTCTTGTTTGCCTCCTTTCATTGTACCTTTTTCACTGGGAAGAAGAGCTGTTTTTCCAAGCTACTGCATTTGCAGTTGTCATTTTAAATATTACCTTGATAGCTAATTCTGCAAGTGGAGATTAAAAAACAGTGTAGAACAACCGCAGAACCAACAGAAAACTGCTGGGATGTGGAGGGGAAAAATAGGGGATAGACTGCAGGAATTTTTTTTTTTTTTTTTTTTCTAATGCAGCCTTGTTAATGGAGAACACTTTTCTGTTCCAACCATGGAGAGAGAGGGCTTTGTATTATTTGTGGCCTTCTTACTTGGCATGCTGGGCAACTGAATACAGAAAATCACTGTAATTGTTGCAGCTTTTCTTGTTTGTAAGCCAGGCCACATTCTTTACTGAAGTGAGAATTCCCACTGTGGACTGATTTCAATAAAGAGCCTGAGCTTTGTGGCAGGCCATCGTTCTGATGGTTAACACTAGCTTTGACATGGGGTTATTCCATAGAATCATAGAAATCCATTAGATTGGAAAAGACCTTTAAGATCATCGAGTCCAACCATGTAGTTCAGTTATGAAGTTCTCTTCTTGACTCAGAGTGTGGAGGGGAGGGAGAATTTTCATTAATAATTGTCCTTGTTAGCTGAGACTTGAAGGTTTCTGTGCGTCATACACGTTTTATAGATGATGATCTTCCTGCTCTTTCTTAAATTATTAATTGTAGGTGACCGTGTGCTCTCTGTCAATGGGATTAGTTTGGAAGGCGCTACCCATAAGCAAGCTGTTGAAACACTGAGAAATACTGGGCAGGTAAGCAGCTGCTTTTTCTACTCCTGACTGTAGTAAACCAGATCTTCATGAGTGAAAAGAGGTAAAGGAACCTGAAGACTGGAATTCTCCCCAGTGTCCTGGTTGCTTTAGGTGTGCTTTCTTAGACTCCTTGGCTTCCTGGGACTCAAGTCTTGCTGCCCACCCTAGTGAAATTCTGGCTCTGTGTGCAGGTGAGAGGTCTGCATGGAACTGGTTTCTCCTTCTCCCTGGGCTTCATGGGAGGGAAAGCCCAGGTGCACAGGTTGGAAAGCAGCTGTAGCTCCATGCTACAGATGGGTCATAGATCTGAACCACTGAGGAGATAAGGGCCTCCATATGTGCAGCTGTATTTGCATGCTGTGTTGGCAGCTTTGCTTGGGTCTTGGCCTTCTTGAATAGTGCTTGATTCTGTCAGTGGTGTCTCCTCATTTAATAGTCCTATTTATGGCAGCTGCTTCATATGTGGAAGTACATGCGTGCATGAAGACAGCCAGTGAATGTGCACGTTCAGAGCTGCTAAGAACTACTGTTTGTGCTCACTTTATAAAATGCTTTTAACTCTGTTCCCTGTACGCGTGTGAAAATGACACTGTCTTTGACACTTCTTAACCCCCACACAGTCTCACTGGAAGAAAATTCTTTCTCACTCTGAGTTGGCAAGTATCATATAAGTCCATTAGTGTATTTTGGAGGTTGCTACTTCCAGCCCTTAAAATAGGGAGTAAATGGAGGATGTATGGGGAGGGAGGTGTCTATAAAGTTTGCTGCTGTAAAACTTAGGACTCTGACGAGTTAGGAAGAAACATGTAATCTAGACTGTGCTATCTCCATGACCGTTGCCAGTTAACTGGAGAATGTTTCATCTCTTTAGGTGGTGCACCTGCTGTTGGAAAAAGGTCAGCTTTCAGTGGCCAAGGTTCATGCTCCAGTAACACCACAATGCACACCTCCAAATCAGGTGGGGCAATGTGAGCCACAGGAGAAACCGGTGACAAAAACTACAAATGCCAAAGATTACAGCTTTGTCACTGCAGGTCAGGTCACATAGGACAATTGTCTGAACTTTGAAAGGATCCTTTAGCTTATATAATATTTTTGTTCAAATCTTCTCTAGAATAGACAGACAGGAGAAGGAGCTGGTAGGAATCTATACCGAGCCCCTGCACATAATGCAGTCCCTTCCTTTTTGTGCTGTTGCGTTTGTTTTTAAGATTTCCCTTCACATCTTTGTAACTTTGTTTAGCTGCTCTTAACTGTTTTCTCTCTCACTGTTCCTTGTTGTTTCCCAGTTTCACCAGCCATGCAGGCCAGGGCTGTAGCAAGGTTGGAGTAAAAGGGGTGCTGTTAAGGAGTGCCATGGGGATGTTAAGATGCTCATATATAAGTGAGAGTTTCTGTAGGTCCTGCTGTTCATGTCTAGGTGAGAGAAGATATCAAGAGCTGGATGAAGAGAGCAGAGGGATTTGTGTAGCTGACTAGAGGTTGACGTATTTCAGCTTCTCTTGTTGGAGACCTATGAAAGCAGAGGAAAGCCTACCCAGAACAGAACACCTCTGCAGATACCTTTTGGTCTTCCTGCATGAGATGTATCCTGTCTGCCAGGAACTCCGGTTGCTGCTCTCGCTAAAGTCTGATTAGTGGCCAGAAAAGTTGTGCCACTCTGTGCTTTAACAGGCTCCTTAATGGACTTCCTGGGGAACAATATTTTGGAGATACCCTGGCTTTCTGTTTAGTGTGCGTATTGTCAGGGCAAGCCAGCAGACTGAGAAGTCATGATCAGCTTTTTGTCCTCTTTGACTTGGAGGGGTCTTTTAGATAACACTTGTGTTCTGTAAAGTGGAAGAACCCTTTGGGGCAGAGAGTGCACGTTGTCATGTCTGGCATAAGAGCACCAGCCACTTTTTTTCGTGGCCAGTGTGCTGAAGGAAATAATAAGTTAATGTTTCTTTTGCAGAGAACACATTTGAGGTAAAGCTGTTGAAGAATAGCTCAGGCCTTGGGTTCAGTTTCTGCCGTGAAGATAACCTTACCCCAGAGCAACTGGGCTCAACTATTGTGAGGGTGAAAAAGCTCTTCCCTGGGCAGCCCGCTGCGGAAAGTGGGCAGATTGAAATTGGGGACGTCATTCTGAAAGTGAATGGGGCATCACTAAAGGGTTTATCCCAGCAGGTTTGTATCTTAGTAGTGAGACTCATGCTGTGGTAGTCCTGCAAGTCTTGAGGGTCTGCTTCTAATAATGAATCCTACTGTGGCCATAGGAAGTCATCTCTGTGCTGAGGGGAACATCTCCAGAAGTCTCTCTCCTCCTTTGTCGACCACCATCTGGTATCCTACCAGACATCGATCCCTCTTTGTTGGTAAGCTGTATGGCATATGATTTTTTTTTTTTTTTTAAGTAGTTATTTGGAGGTTCCTTTGTTAGATCTGATGGGTAGGTTATTTAAATGCAAGATGCAGATGGAAAGGTGGGCAGGGTGCTCACAGAAACGTGGTTCTTATAGTAAATCACTCAGCAGTGTGCTAAGTATTTTGTGGAAACGTGAAAAGAATGCAGGGCTTCAGTAATTTATTCTTTTTCCACCATTTTGTGACCTAAGACATGGGAAATTGACTTAATACAGTGTTTCTGTGGGAGGGTTTTTTTTGCAGCCCAATGGTTTGAAGTTGATCTCAAATAGAAATCAGATATTTCCGTAACGTATATGAAGAATATTCTGCAAAACATCAATTTATCTGGGTTTGATGCGTGTAAAACCAGGGAAAAGATGGCCGTATTTGCTTACTGGAAATTACAGGTGTTGCAAAGAATATTTTCAAAATGCTTCAATAAGTAAATTGAAATAACAGAAGACAATTTTAGGATACCGGGAAGAAGCGGGAATTAGATGTGTTTCATCAAAAGAGAATGTAGAGGGGGAGTTTACCTGAAAAGTAGACTTTCCATAATACAGGAAAGTGTAAAAACTAATGGAGACAGGTCTTCAATTTAAGTTACTGTAATATATTTCCAAACAATTAAAACCATTCCAAGTCTGATGACAGAAACTTAAAAAATACAAATTTAAGTGAAGTTAAAATTAGAGTAAAAGATAAGCAACTGAACAAACTCATAATAAAAATAATTAGTCCTGTAATGAATCCTTTTGTGGTATGGAATAACTTTAATAAAACAGTGCATATATTAAAAGAGCAGGAAAAAACAGTAAACAAATGACAATTTTTGTTCATAACATTATCACAGGTCGATGTGTTCATGAACACAAGAACTTGGCCATAAAAACGTAAATGAAGCTTTTAAACTTTGTGTGTCTGCTAGCTGACATTGTTCTTGGGAATATGTGATTATTGGCAAAACTGTTCTTCATTTTCATGGGAGTTAATAACTTGGCTGAACAGTAAATTATCGTAGTTTTTGTAGTCTGTTATGTAGCTTTTTGCTTGAAAGCTTCCCTGTTTCCCTCCTGTGCGAGGTTAGTTTGACTTCGGTCGCACTGTAAGCATCAGCACTGTGTTCTGGTTGGAAGGAATTTCATGGTAATTGCCTAGATGACTGGCAGGCACAGCTTGAAGGTAGCTGTCAGTAGGGTCACTGAGGCTAAAGCCATTTGTTTTCCTTAGATGAATTTGCAGTTCTTCAGCAGTGTATGTTTCGAAGGTTTGCATGTTTTGTCTTGGCCAAGCTGCCTTGAACTGGGTGAAGCTGTGTTATGATACATTTACACAGTTGAGGCAACATCTAAACAGAAGGATTGCCAATTATTAATTACCAAAATTACCAATTGCTTTTGGTAATTTCGTGCAGTCTTTGCAACTTTTCTTGTGTCATCAAAACTGGAGTTCAATGAATTAAATATCCTTGCTCTCTGTAGACTCCCATCCATTCACCCCAGCAAGTATTTCCAGATGTCAGCAGAGAAGCTTCGGGTCCATCAAATGGAGAACAAGGCGACAGCTCAGATGAAAATGAAGCTGTTGATCTGAGCGCGAAAAGGCTAAAATCTCCCTCTAGAAGAGACAGCTACAGTGACAGCAGCAGGAGTGGTGATGAGGAGGTGGTAGACTCCCCAGCACAGGTGGGCCTCGGCTGGAGTCCTGCGCTGTGCCAAACGTCAGGTGAAGCTGTGACACAGGCACGCAGTCAGTATGCGGTACGCAGTGGTCAGGAGGAGGCTGTTCGCACCATGTTGTGCTCTGATCAGGAGGCTCTGAGCAAGTCAGAGCCTGAGAACAGGTATGCTGTTTATAATGACCTTTGTAATGTTGCAGGAGGTGTTTACAAAAATAGTTTATTGCACCTGCTCATAGAAGTACTTTTTTGTTTTGCTTTTTAGAGCTGCGTAAAGTCAATATTGGCCCTAATATTCATTGTTTTTTGCTTATTTATCTGTAGTGATTTTCCATTGGATTTGCCATTGATCCCAAGCTGTAGAACTGTTCCTGATGTTACCACATCCGTTTTAATAAATGACTGTTACGCTACTCCTGCTTCTGAGCTGACTCCGCACCTGGGAGGAATGGATTCATTACTCAGCCAGCTGGAAAAAAATACTGAAGAATATGAGCCAGTAATTTACTATTTCTGTCTTTCATAATGTACCTACTCCTACAGCTGGAGGTTGTTTTAGCCGTAGTATTGAGAGTGACTGGGTGTAAGTTAGGCATATTAATTTACAAATGGGGTGGTTGTAGGCTATACTTGTACTAACCTGGGCGTGTGCCTTACAAATGGTGCGCATACGTTTGCCATTTGTAACCAGTGACCTGCAGCTGCTCATACAAATGTCTCCAGGCATTTCCTGTCTGGGCTCTTGAGGAGTTGATCTGTTTCTTCTCTGTGCATGTGGAGGTACACGTATGTACATAGGTAGATGTGTGTATATACATTTCATGTGTCATTTTAGCCTGGGAATCTTGGCGTTAAATATTTACCTACCTCTAAACTATATACTCAGACAAGGCTTAAATGGCAAATATCTTGCTTGTGCCTTGTTAGTTTTCTGTGTGGTTGTTCAGAGATCAGAGGATAAATCAGGGCAGCAAGGACATCAGGAAGCCCTGTTCGTCGCTGCATTTATATCTACAAATCCCAAAGACTTTCTGTTCTGCTGAAAAACGCAGCATATTTTTGAGACTTTTGCCATCCTAGAAATGTGCTGCATATCAGAAGGGACTTCTGCTTCCGTATCCTCACATAATCTATTCACGGATTGAAAAAAATGAAAAGCGAGCCTTGATATGTCTCAATTGTGAGGATCTTTCAGGTTACAAAGCTGTTCTAACCCATGTTCCATTCTGAGAAGAAACAAACTGTCCTTTTCTTAGTCCCTTCTTCAGAAGTTTTTCTCAAACGTTCCCAGTGCTCTGTGAGTTTCTGTGCAAATGAAATAGATCTGTATCTTTCAAATCAAAATTCATGCAAATTAAAATAGGCAAACCGTGTCCATGTGTTCAGTTCTGTGATAAGTTATGGTATTGTATCTCATGGGAGGAAAATACGTTCACCTACTTCAGCCGAATAATTCCTGATGTGTTGTCTTATTTGAAAAATACAGTCTTTTATATGTGGCAGCTAGTTGAGGGTAAAATAAGGTGTCAGTTTGGGCATTTGCCTTCACAGTTTTGTTTAGATCATAGGCCTTTGGCCCAGGGTTAGCTCCATGCAAAACATTAGTCCATGTGAATTCCTTAGAGGTGCTTACCTGAAGCAGCTAAGCTGAGCCTGCTAAGACGCACGTGTTGGTACTGTCCAGACTTGTGTTCTGCTCGAACCAATAGGTAAATCAGTTGTCTGTTTCTGTCTTAAATTGAATAAAGCATTCAAATTGCTTCTGTTTATCTGTGTTGTAAAGCGTTGTTTTCTTCCCCTAGGAAGTAGAGCTCCGAGTCACTATGACAAAGTCAGAAAAGGGTAGTCTGGGTTTTACAGTGACCAAAGGTAACGATAACGTGGGCTGCTACATTCATGACATTGTTCAGGATCCTGCCAAAAGTGATGGGAGACTACGACCTGGAGACCGACTGATAAAAGTGAGAGAATTAATGTTTTCAGATACAGGGATTGCATGAAAGGGACAACTTTGATTTAAAAAAAAAAAAAAAAAGTGAACTGTTGTGGGCCAAAGTAAATGTGGTTAAGGAACAAAGGCATACGCCTTCTGAGAGGCATAATTTGATAGATAATTAGATAAAAGAAGTACAGGTATGAAAACATGTGAGAAGATTGCTGAATGGAGTTAAGGTATGTCCCACAGCTAGGCACGTGTGCAACCACTGTTCGTGATGGCAAAAAATGGTTTAAAGAGAAGAGCATTTGTTGATTAAATAAGATGGTTGCCCACATATGTGGAGGAGTTGTTGGTCAAATACGTCTATAGCTAGTACGTTGTTAGGTAATAAATTTTAAGATGTTTGCTGTAGAATTTACCAGGTACGTATCATGTAGTATAGATGTTTATCGTAGAATCATAAAATAGTTTGGGTTGGAAGGGACCTTAAAGGTCATCTAGTCCAACCCACCTGCAATGGGCAGGGACATTTCAACTAGATCAGGTTGCTCAGAGCCCCATCCAACCTGACCTTGAATGTTTCCAGAATGGGGCATCTACCACCTCTCTGGGCAACCTGTTCCAGTGTTTCATCACCCTCATTGTAAAAAATTTCTTCCTTATATCTAGTCTGATTCTGCCCACTTTTAGTTTAAAACCATTACCCCTTGTCCTATCACAACAGGCGCTGCTAGAAAGTTTGTCCCCATCTTTCTTATAACTTCTCTTCAAATACTGAAAGGCTGAAATAAGGCCTCCCTGGAGCGTTCTCTTCTCCAGGCTAAACAATCCCAACTCTCTCAACCTTTCCTTATGGGAGAGGCGTTCCATCCCTCTGATCATTTTTGTGGCCCTTCTCAGGACCTACTCCAACAGGTCCATGTCTTTTCTGTACTGAGAACTCCAGAGCTGGATGCAGTACTCCAGGTGGGGTCTCATCAGTAGAGGGGCAGAATCACCTCCCTCAGCCTGCTGGCTACACTTCTTTTGATGCAGCCCAGGATACAATGGACTTTCTCAGCTGTGAGCACACGGCTTGCATCCAGTTTTTCATTCACCAGTACTCCCCAGTCCTCTGCAGGGCTGCTGTCAATCCTTTCATTCCCCATCTGGAGCTTGCCTCGACCCGGTGCAGGACCTCACACTTGGCCTTGTTGAACCTCATGAGGTTCACGTGGGCCCACTTCTCAAGCTTGTCCAGATCCCTCTGAATGGCATCCCATCCCTTATGGTATTCATTTCCGATGGACTGAAAACTTGTATTTAAGCTTAGAGGGGCTGTGAGCAATAGTGCCAGAGTGTGTAGCACAGAGCGTGTGTGTGAGTCAGTGCTAGATCAGGACACTGGAGTGCTGCCGAATGCTATTAAACTTTAATAAGATTAGGCTAAAACAAGTCAAATTTGATTAGATAGAGAATCAGACTTTTGGGTGTTGGCCTATGCAGTTATAGCATTCTGATTTTTTTGTTTATATAGGAAGAGTAAAATAACATACCTCTTCAAATTGTTTAATATTTTGACAATTGGACTGTAAGCTTGTTTCTTCACTTGCAAAAGTTTGGTTACGTTTGTGTGTTCTGTCTCCTTGGGTAGGGATGATGAACTGCAATTGTTGTTGGTAAAGCATCTGTTGTTTTGTCCTTTGATGGAAAATGTCAACAACAGGAATAAATGTTTCCTAAGTAATGATAGCTGGTTTACTTGGAGCCTAACAAGGAGATGTCTGTTGCTTTTGTTTTCCCAGGTTAATGACATCGATGTCACTAACATGAGTCATACTGATGCGGTAAACTTCCTCCGCGCTGCCCCAAAGACTGTCAGATTGGTGCTGGGGCGTGTATTGGAGGTACCCAAGATGCCAGTGTCGCCTCATTTACTGCCTGATATTACACTCACGTGCCATAAGGAGGAGCTAGGTAACACAGAAGTGTACTGCTTCTTGGTCTACAGCAAAATTTTTCCCTTCAGTTGCAAGGAAAGAACTTAATTTTTTTTTTTTCTGCCCCCCTTTTTCCTGCAAAGGTTTGTTGTTATCAGGAGGTCACGACAGCCTTTACCAAGTTGTGTATGTTAGTGACATTCTCCCCAAATCAGTTGCTGCCAGAGAGGAGAGTCTCCATGCACTAGATGTTATCCATTACATTAATGGAGTAAGCACACAGGGAATGACTCTGAAAGAAGCCAAAAGAATGCTGGAAACATACCTTCCGACAGTGGTGCTCAAAGCAACCAGGTACATTTTGGAATCAAATGCTTCCCTGCAGTTTTTGGTTTTCTCTCTTGATTGTATGAGTATATGGGTAAAACGTGTTCCTAGTCTGACAGCTAATTCACCAGAGTGGTACGAGGTAGCATGTTGTTGGGGACTGACACCACAAAAAGGGTCTGAATATTCAAAGTTTTTGTGCTTCGGTGGAGCAGAGGGGTACTTAGTACTTGCTGTGCTTTGTGATTCTTGGGAAGACAAGGCCGTGTCCAGCTATGAATTGCGAGTGTTCAAAATATCACTTTCAAAATATGGCACAGGTTATTTAAAAACAATTAATCCTTTTTCTTGAAACTGCTACTGAGGGTTCTACAATCCTAAACAGGTGATAAAGTGTTGTTGCGTGCTTGAATAGTTCTACTGTCACACGGATATCCCAGCACACTGGTGAATGTCAGAACCCTTTGGCACAGATCCCAGTGCACCACTGTATTTTCACTGATTTCTGCTGCTTCTTTTATGGCAATACAGCGGTCTAAAAAACTCTCCAGATTACTGTGGTTTAATATTTACCTGGGACTGAAACATTTGCTTCATTTTTGAAGTCTTTCAGCCATGCCTGCCGTTCTTTGCTTCTTCTCTCGCTTTCTCCTTCCCACTGTTTTATCCCAGAAGGGGAAGGAATTGCAAAGTCTTGAGGCTTCAAGGTTGAATCTCTGTCAAAATCCAGAAGGAAAATCCAGCTCTTCGGTGCTCCCTGAAGTAGGAACTAACCTAACTACCAGTGCTTAATCTCTCTCATTGAACATTTTAAGTGTTTCAAAACTGTTGTAATAGAAAGCGTGGTTAGCAATTTTACTGATAACACATATTTACATCAATATCTGATGATTACTGTGATTTACTCATTTTTTAATACAGTTTTGTAAACATTTCTTTTCATAGAGATGGTCATGCAGTGCTTCCAAAATCCAAAAGTCCCGTTAGCTCAAATCCATGGGCAATGAAAGCTAATGGTAAGGTTTGCTTGCTTACTGATTAAAAGTGAAACACGCATGTTTATAAAACTGAAGGAACTGATATGGGCCTTAAGATACCATGCTAGTCCAGTGCCTGCACTAGAAATCCACTTACTGAAATCGGCTCCAGCAAGCATTTGCTTGATCTGTCTTTTAAAAGTTCCATGAAAAGAGATTCAACAATAGTCACTTTATGATTCCATTTCCCTTGTAGTTTAGAAATTCTCTCTAATATCAAGCCTAAGTCTTTCAAGGAGTTAAATCAAATCCATTTGTTATCATCATAATAATTGTTATTAATAATCATAATCTTGTTCTTGTTTCCTCTGACCAGACATAAAAATACCAATTTGTTACATTTGAAAGGGCTTCATGTCTCCCACTGGTCTTTTCCTTTTCAAGACCAAAGGAGCCCAAATTGATTTTATTGCTCCCCTCCAGTTTGTTTACATCTCGCTGTTTTCCTTTTCAAGTGTGGTGCTTCTGGTCACACACACATGGCATTGGGTGAGGTTCACCAGTGCCAACAGACAGGAAGAATTATTTCCAGGGTTGTGTAGACAGCTTTCCTGTTCAAACACTCCAAGTGAAATTAACTTCCTTTTGCCAGATAGTTCCTTGTTCACTCACTTAAACTCAGCATCTTTTACCACCTACATTTGCTTCTGTGCAGAGCAACTGCTCATGCAGTTACTTAATGTCTTAAGCATTTCTTTTTCCTGGAAATGTGGCGTTTTACCTTTGTCTTGATTCATCAAGCCTTGTTTTCTTGCTTCCTTTAATGTGTCTAGATAACTCTGAGTATTGATCTTGCCTTATGAAATTATTGCAACTCTTACAGTTCAGTGTTGCTCACGTTTTCCAAGTATGCTACGTGTTTTGTTTCAAAGAAACTAAGAGCTTATTCCTAGTGAGTACTATATCCAAATCTTGGAAGACCCCACGTAAAATTCCCTTTCTGTAGATGCCTTGTCATGCATAGGTTCACAAGATATAAGGTTACTCTTAACTTATAGATGAAATAACTGAAAGCTGCTTTGTTTGTAAAAGCATAATGTATAAGAAAATCCAGAACTTCACTAGTAGCTAGGTATATAGCTTCTACTGGTTCCACTTTGTCTCATTTATTGTACTAGTTGTGGGATGTCCAGGAAAGATGATGGTCTCTGATATCACAGTATCACTCTTTTCTTTACCAAAAATGGAAAGATACCTTTGAAAAAGGACCTAGATGTCAGATGATGTTTAAAAAAAAAGAAAAAAAATAGTGACAG